CAGTCTTTATTTTACAGTTAAATATATGTTTATCAAATAAAGTCTAATGTTACAACTAATAGGGGATCCCTTTAAGTTCACCTATTCTGAACGCTTTTTAAAGTCTTTGTAAATAAAAAAACACATTAAGGACAAAATAAAAGAGGAAATAAAGAAGCTGTCGAGAGTTAAAGTGTCTGTGACATCAAACTTTTGTAATAAATGTGATTAATTTTTGGGAAAGATAACATTCATAATATATTGTAAAACAAATTTTATACCGCTGAGATAAGCTGTTGCTGAGATATTTGCATTTTAAGTAACAGGAAGTGATGTCAAAGGGGAAAGTCTGAATGTAAACAAAGCATTGCTGCAATAACTAACAACACAGACTGTAGAAAATAAATCTGTTTCTTTAGATTATTTTAAGTATATCAGTGAGTGATGAAGAAGGGAGTCAGAGGCGAAATAACATTGTTTTAATGAATACAAACCAGAGTGTTTTCTTTCCTAAAGACTTACCCTTTGATGTCACTTCCTGTTTCACATTCGTCTTTACTTCTCTAAGTTATGTGACAAAATGAGTAAAATCAGGTGCTATGTCATTACCTAAATATATATATATATTTTTTACTTTTTGTATTTGAAGAATATGTCTGTCACAGGCACTTTAAGGTCTCAGTGGTCATCAGAGTACACACTACTGTGACCCCCAAAGAGTGTCCTCAACAGATCCCTGGCACTACCTCAGACCAGTACAGCCCAGTCCTAGGAACAGCTAAGAGACTGAACAGAACTGAAGAAATTTACAGTTATTATAGATTAGTACTGATGTTAGAAAACAACACCAGAGAATTAGGGTTTCCTTTTTATAATATTTGTATAATGTTTGATCTATTATGTGTTAATTGAAATAGAGTAGATACATGTCCAAATCATAAACAACACATAAGTGAACCGTTTTAAAACATTAGGGTAAGGTCTTTGTCTGAATGCCTGTGATTCAGCCGTAGGTCAGTAGGGGGCGAACTCAGGCATTGAAGAATCGTGTACAAAAACATGCACTTCCTGTCTTTGAGCCAGTGTGGTTTCGCTTGTCAGCCCGGTGACAAATAAACCTCACTCTGATCCAGAATTCTGGTGTTGTATGACCTTATTCCTTTTACAAATCAATTTATTTAACTATTGTGTTTTAATCTGACTTCAGTCGATATTGAACACATATTTCTTACAGAACCGTAAGACTCCCAGACTGCTGGTAGAGGACCTGAGCATGAAGTGAAGTGGAACTAACCGAGTAGAASAGACGAATAGGACAAATTTCATGTTTGTTTGTGAAGACAGAGACAAAATCTAAAACAAGAAAAAAAAAACCTTGTTATGCTCATTTTATCACACACTTATACCTATTTTAAAAATAAATAGTTCAAGACTTTTCAAGATGGTGCAAGACTCCTGGAGTATAATAAAACTGCATTTGTTGTAACCCTTTTTTGTCTCATTATTTCATGATTTTTTTTTATTAAAAGATGGTTGATGCTCTGTTTTTTTCTCAAACTTTCAATGAAATGAAATTTTATATCAAAATATTCGAAGTATTAGAAAATGAAACAGGTTTGTTTGGTCATGTGTGACAGCAGTGACTCAATCCAACGCCCACCTTCTTAAAGCTTCCTGTTAGTTCCATGTTAAATATGAGTTKTTTCAGTTTGCTCAATATGAACACCTCAACACTTCGTCATTTTCCTCCAAAGCAACACTGAAAACAAAGACAGCTCAGCAGCAAAGGACACCTGTAGACTGATGATGTCAAATCCTCACTCGTCACAGACAACATGGAGATCTTACCTGGGAGAGCCACTCCTCATCATCCTGGCCGCTGTGGTCCGACTCCAGGCTGTCGGACGACTCGTGACGTGTGATTGGACCCGGGCTTCCAGGAGGCATTCCTGAGGAACGATGGAACCAGTTCAAGAAAGTTTATTGGTATTAAACGTTCATCTCTGATCCATCATATCAAAATGGGGATTAAGTCAAATTTGGTCAAAATTACATAATTACATTTTCAAATTTCTGGCTTTAAAAGCTACATTTTGATACCTGGATCATTCTGATATCATAAGCTTATCCAGAGATATAACATAATTTGTCTTGTTGGTTACTATCATACATTATTGTTTGATCTGAATGCTCATTTTATGTAAATTTATTCAGTGATTTTTGATGTCAATAAAAAGAGGAAACCTCAAATATGTTTGCATATCAAGTTTTCCCATTTGGAAAGAAACAAAAAAATTCTAGCTCATAGAGAAAAATTCACAATTTTAAGGCGTTTTTCTTCAAAATCATTTTTTTTTTTTGTTGCTACTGCTCAAAAAATGCTTCAAAAATATTTTAGGAGTATATTTTAGACAGTTCTTTCAAAT